AATGGTAATCGTCTCTCATTGCATATGACCATCACCACTGACACAGCACTTTATGTCACCCATGTGGGATGCATCCCCTTTAAAACAGACATATTTGAAACCAAAAGTCTCTTTGTCCGTTGCAAAGCAACATAATAACCTGACCACTAAGCTACAGGACTATATTGACAGTAACGAAATGATTTTCTCTTATAACCTATTTCTGACCATGAATGAGCCCTCTGACTGAACAGAAGTTTATTTATTCCAGCTATCAAATGAACACCTTCTATCCCAGCCAAAGATCACTCGTGTTATGGTTAATGACAATCTGAGAATTCTTGAAATGATTGAATATTAAAGAATTACAAAGATATAAAAACATTTGCATGGACAAATGATATCAGACCCAGAGAAGTCACCTCAAACCATGAGGAAAAAGTGGGGTAGAGATGTTTTAATTATTTAATTCATTATACTTAAAAGAAAAAATGAAATTTCTCAGAATCTCACCAAAGTGCTTTCAGAAAGATTAGAGAATCACATGCAACCCACATTTAAGCAATCGGGGTTCCCTTGGGAGTGACTACCTTCTCTAGGCCAAGTTAAGTGAAACTCGCATGACTTCCTCTAAACCATTTGATTTGTCTCCTCTGAAGGTGTGATTTAAATGCCTCTGAATCTAGAATGGATTTCTTACAGAAAAATTGTATACAAACCTGTGATCTGTCCTTTGTTAGAGTTAGTTTTTGGCATGGATGAAACAGAAAGAGCCATGCTGACCCAGCAAGGAACAAAATGTTGTTGGCAGAAATGGTCCATGCCTGTTCAGCTCTGTTAACGCTCAGGATCCATGACTTCCCACTGGCATCATCTTTGTCAAATGGGGCTCCTGTGCAAAGGCAGACACAAGAACATGCCACATCTAGCAGGATCTTCGGTGCCTGATTTTTTTTGGTGTATAAGTTCCACTGTTCAAATAGACCTCTGCATCATCTGGCTGGGAATCTCTTCCCCTTTCCCAGGGTCTGAATGGCACTCCTTTCATGCAGAAATCACACTGCAATGCAATGAAGGGTTTGTGGCCATGTTTTATGGTGCCCCAGGCTACATGAGCTTTCTGAGAGTCAGTTTGGTGTAGTGGTTAAGTGCGCAGACTCTAATCTGGGAGAACTGGATTTGATTCCCCACTCCTCCACTTGCAGTTGCTGGATGACCTTGGGCAAGCCTTAGTCTGACAAGAGCTGTCATTGAAAGGGGAGTTCTGGAAAGAGCTCTCTCAGCCCAACCTACTTCACAGGGTGTCTGTTGTGGGGAGGGGAAGGGAAAGGAGTTTGTAGGCCACTCTAAGACTTCGAGTGAAGGGCGGGGTATAAATCCCATCTCTTCTTCTTCTTCTGGCTGCCATCTTTTTTGCAATGGCTTTCCTGGCCAGAAAGCAGCCTGGGGCCTTCAATAAAACCAAGATGATCGCCTTCACTGTGCTGGTGTTTTGCAGTGTATGGGTGTACCTGAGCCCCAAGGGGAAACAGATGATAGCTGTGCAGATCTTCTCCATCCTGGCCTCCAGTGCTGGCTGGCTGGGTTGCATTTTTCTTTCTAAATGCTACATTATTTTTAGTGAGGTATGACTTTAACACCAAGGAGCATCTATTACAGTTCTGCAGGGCCTGCAAGACAGAGTTCTTCCACCAGGCTTTCAACTAAGGAGCCACCACTATTATTACCACCAACAACCTTAATTATAAAGTCCTGGCCCTTGACTTTGACATCTAGCCTGTACTGCTGCTCATATTAGGAAGATCATTGAGCAGAATAATTGTTAGACCTTTGTATGCACTCTTACAGTGCACCATCTTAAGCAACTAATCAAGCATCACCAGCACTTTATGAATTATTTATAATTGAATTTTTAGATGATTTTAATTGTTATTTATGTATTAACCGATGTAAGCCACCCTAAGCCTGCTTTGCGGGGAGGGTGGGGTACAAATTAATTAATTAATTAATAATTGCAAAAATGAAATCTGATTCTTAGTAGATAGTTTTTAACTTTTGCAATGCTGTGTCTAACATGTAAGCAAGATATATGTATTGGGAGTAAATCACTGAGATGTTTTTAAAATAAACATCTTATTCTTTCATATGCGTCATGACAGATATGACTACAGAAGGATACTGAAATGGCCAAAGCATAATTTAATGACTTAGCATTCTCCAGTTTCAAGGTTAAAAGTACTCTTCCTTTTGCTGGCTCAGAAGTGCAATGTGTTTGATGCAGGTTCCCTGTCTATGCTAGGTCCCTTTCTCTCTTTCTAAAACTTCTCTGATCCAGTGAAGTTGCGGTGTTAATATTGGCGCTTCATTTGGTGGCCAACTTGGGTCTTGGAAATTCCTGGAAGTTTGAGTGCTGTTTGTGGGGATAGCGGAGTTTCAGGGGACAGAGCAGCAGGGATGTGACGTCCCATCCTGAAATTCCATTCCAAGGTCTAAGCTCTTCCAGCTCCTCTCCAGCTCCACCAACTTCCTCCCACTAAAATTCAGTTAATATTCTTTTATTTTAACCCTCAAAAGGTGTCTTCCTCACAGGAATGGGATTGGTTGGTTTCCCCATTGTTGGTGTGGTTGCCAATAAAGTGTATCTCCAAGAAAAGTGGTTAGAAACGTTTTTTTAAAATGAAAGTTGGGATTTCAGAAAAACTGTTCAATAATATATAGATACAAAGATATTCTAGTGCCTCTTTTTACATGGAAACCCACCTCGGATGTGGAAATGACTGCTGTGGGGACAGGCTCAGGGAAAATGGCTGACCAAGGACTAGAAAATCTGAATTTTCCAACTACACAGTAGGCATTCAGGCTTTGTTGCGATGGTGCCCAAAACTATAGAGCAAAGCATGTTTCATAAAGATTGGAGAAAATCTGGGGAAAATAAATGCACAAAGGCACCACAATGCAGTGAGGGAACAGGTAAAAAATGAACAAACAACCCCCCCCCCTCACATCCTGAAAGCATTGAACTTGGGGCAGATAACCTACGTGGAAGACACCGCAACAATGACAACAAAAGAAAGAAGTCTTCGGGCTTCTCCATTTCGGGAGAAACTTGATGCCCTGCTCTGTTCTCACCTGCACTGTAAATATATGTTTCTATTTGTTTGTTTGTTTATTTAAAATGTGTATTTGAAAGGTCACTATGCCACCATTACACCCCAAAAGGTTCCCCAAGGTGTTGAACACTGAAGCATGAAAACTGTTAACACAGGGGCATCCTGTGGTGCCTATGGGCACCATGGCATCCTGCAGCACCTTTCCTGATGCCCACCAAGTGCTTTAGAAAGTGGATGAGGTCAGATGTAGCTCTTACCCAGCAAGGCTTCTCATTCTCCACTGGAGATTCAATTGGCTGTGCAGATTTTTTTTTAAAATGTTGCTTTAGCAGCTCATGAATCCATAGCACAAGAATCTTCACTGTGGGACAGCACAGGCAGAGAGGGACCAAAAAAGCTCTGGAAAAGGGCTGCACCCCCAACTCAACCTGGCCCCACCCATCTGAAAGATGGCAAAAAGAGGATGCAGGCTTCATCAGCCTGCCCCACCTCCCCGAAGCCTCCCCCAAGCTCCACCAGTTGGGCATGTGTCACCTACTTACCTTGGGTGGCCCAGGCGGTGCTTTTATTCTCTTGGGCGGGACTTGGGAAAAGGGAGGGCCATCTCTCTCACCCTGTCTCATGCATCACCTAGGCTTGCTGGGACCAGATCCTGCCCTTTGCCTTGCTCAGGGCTTAGAGAACTGGTTGCTGCCTGGCTTGCAATGTGTGAGGACTGGGCAGGTGGGGTGATGCCTTGTGCTGGGTCTCATTCAATCTGGTGCCACTCTCGACCTCATGCAGGGGCAAGGTAGGTCAGGCACCTGCTCCCTCTCCTGACATGGGGCTAGGGAGAACTTGATGATGCCTCATAAGAACATAAGAGAAGCCAATGTTGGATCAGGCCAAAGGCCCATCCAGTCCAACACTCTGTGTCACACAGTGGCCAGAAATACCAGGTGCCATCAGGAGGTCCAGCAGTGGGGCCAGGACACTAGAAGCCCTCCCACTGTTGACCCCCCCCAAGCACCAAGAAGACAGAGCATCACTTGCCCCAGAGCCCCTGTGTGAACCGGGAGCCACTCTCTCGGTTCTTCTGCCAACGCCTGATAGGGCTCAAGGTCTCAGCCTGGCAAAGAGTGACTTGTTTCTCTCCGTCAACATTCCAAGCAGTTTATGCTTAAAAAGCTCACCTCTTTAATCTCCGGTTCGCCTCTGGACAAGGGGAGGGAGTCACCCAGTAACAACGCTGTTCCACAGTTCAAATGTTGAAAGATCATAGCAAAATTTATTGAAGATGATTACAAAATCACTACTCACTGCACCCCAGCAGTGAGTATCAGACGCAGTGAGATTCACAGAGTACCCTGCTTCCTGGCCCCCGTGGCCTGGAAAGGTAAGTAACTAAAAAACTGCAGAAAGACATTGGATATCAAGCTGTCGCCCCCCCTTCAAGGGCTGGCAGCT